TCAAGAAAGTATAGTAAGTATAGTAGCCGCCAAGTCAGCTGGTGCTGGACGTAGGATGAAAGCACAAGAAAGGATTCGATGAGTCATCAAGACGAGTCACTGATCCTCGCACTACATATATACGCATTAACATATCGGTTCCCTTTACCGCGATGCATACGTGGTGTCTTGTTGTTACGAGCGTTAAACACTTGGCTACTTGCCACAATTTCTTCCTCCTTTCCTTCCTTTTCTGCGACATCTAACCGTGGGGAGAATAACGTCATAGGATACTCGATGATCCTATCGTGACTGAATTACATTTTGCATTTACATAATATATGTTACATTATGTATTTTTTTATCAGGGTGTCTGTAGTGGATACTAAATCGAGGTCAATTCTTGTTTGAGTACTCGAGAGGGGCATGAGTCCCACTGGTCACGAAAGGGTTAACTAATGAGAACACGGTAGCTGTGCAGTTTCTTAAACTATGGGGTTTTCTTTTCTGTTTTTTTTTTTAAGTCTCCTTGGTTAGAAAATAAAATATGGGAAGTAATAGGAGAAATATGGTATATGGAAACACGACAGAGGTTGAAAATAATATACTAAGGGTGTTCCAGAAATTTCTACGTATGGATGATAACAATTCGGAAGAAAAAATTCTTAGAAATGCAAATAAAAAAATTAGAGGTAAAATTCTGGTTGAAGACTGTCTAGAGTTCAAGGGCGCTCTTCGTTGCTCCGAGCACAGCCGAGAGCAGTGGGCGGAGCAAGCGACGTCGACAGTCAAACCTGGAGGGGGAAATAACGGTAGTGGTGGGGGTGTAGTAAAGGTATAGCCAGTGTAACAAACATAGAAGCCCATGAAATCGGTCAGCAGTCAAAGTAAACATATTTCCAGCGTTCTAACAAAGTAATTGACACAAACATGGAAACGCAAGCTATCCTAGATCAAACTGTACCACCACTTAATTTTTCAATTTACAAACTCGTCACATTTCTTCCACCGACTACACCTTTTTCCAGCACACACGATCACTATTGCTTTTTCAAACCGCGCGATCACTGCACAGACTAGTTCCTCCCAGTAGGCGTGGCTTACTGCTCTAATTTGTCCGATCGCTTGACACAGAGCAACGTGGAGATCGAACCTAACCTAACAATGCGGAGCATGTCGCTGATTTCAGCTCGATGACGTTAATCTATGCCGATTAAAATCGTCGAAGTGCGTAACGAATGTCAATCGATGGCTGTCCTGTAAATGTCACCAACCGAGGAGCCGTGGGCTTAGGCAAACAAAGAAACTCGCGTTACAACCAGGTATATTCGCGAGTAGGATAACACGCGGTGGGCAGCCGGTATGGCACGACTTATATGCACCGATGCAAGCATGTGCAACTGGTATGATGGTGGAACAGTCGCCTCGCGGCATTAGTCACCATTCGACTCGCGGCAATGTAACGCAAACCTGAAATTTTGTTTTCGTTTAGCCCGGCGGGCATTCTCGGACGTGGCGAATTCGTTCTTTCTACATATACATACATATATATATATACACGTGAAATTTATTCCCATCTCTGTTGCGTGCGATCGTTAAGCCGGCGGTGGAACGCGATCGCGTGCAACCTGCTCGAAAAAATTTCGTCGCTTGGTATATAAAAGTGCATTCGGAAACACGCTAACACGGCTCACGCTCCAACTTACGTATTAACGTATTGATGAAAGTGAAACCACGGCGTGCGTCCTTCATTCCTCGACAGCTTTTGTTCCCCGAGACTGTATTTCAAGTGAATCGAAAAAGTACGCGCCTGGTAAACTGGTTAGCGAAGCGCACTCCAAGTAAATGTTACTTGTATCAAGTTTAAATCGATAACTATCGAATCGATTTGTACTCTGCAATTGTTAAATTGTGCTCAGTGTGATTGTAATTTTACGAGACTTTTTTAAACTATTCCTGGCATTCCTCCGCATATTTTTCTATATATTTTCAGTAACTCGTCCTTTGATTATGATTACAAAATTTTTAAATAAGTAACAAATAATTCTGTCACAAAAAAAAATCCTTTTTTTCTCTAATAAACCGGGATAATCCGGGTTACCCAATCGACGTTCCCAAATATCGGGAGTCGATGTTGAGAAAAATTTAAAACGCCTGAAAACAAATATCAAATCCACTCTACAATTTTGAACACCATTTAATTTAATATTACACCTTCCACGGTAAAAGTTTCTTCAAATAATCATCGTTTCTCAACAGTCAATTCTGCACAGGACGATAAAAGCTTTCTATGCTCGTACTCACATACGTCCAGGGGAAAGAGAAAAAAATCTAACCTAACCGTTTACTTTGCCGCACGTAGAAGTTGACAAGCCGTGGCGTAATTTTTCTAGTGTCGAAAGAAAAACGCCAGCAGTGCTTTGCTCAGACATACGGGTCTCGAAGAATAGGAAAAAAGGTTGGACCGTTTCGACTTTCTCGTGGCGAGCTGGCGTAATTGTAAATGGTCGGAATAAGTAACGCAACGCTCGACCTGTGCGCGAAACGTTCCATCAGCATCAAATCCGCGCGAAACGTTCTTCGCGTGCACGGAGATTAATGGTGAACGTTAGACGAGTATGTGGGTGTTCGTCAAACCAACGGTTTCTGCAACGTGGCCACGGATATCTGCTTCTTTCGTACGTAGCAAGTGTTCGAGCATTGGCGTAGGATCGGTGTCCGTTTCACGCGCGACGAGCATCAAAGCTGCAGAACGCGATCAGATTTCGCCAACCATTTGAATTTTATGGAAAAATCTAGGAATCACGGTCTGTTATGTTTATCACGCCTAATTCGTGTTTTAGAATAGTTAGATTTATTAACGGAAGAGTAAACACGCCTTGTTCTTCACTTTTATTGGTTCAATTAGACGACTTTGTTCAACGACGATTATCCCTTTCTCCAACTTCTATAGATTCCTAAACACTGGTTAAGGCTTCTCGGTGTAAGTTATACTTTCTTAGAAGCCACACTATGCCCTTCTGGTTAATGTACAGAGCAAAGAGGTCTTAAAATGTTTTATCAGGGATTTATCGAAATACTGACACGTGTCCGCGTTTCATTTGCAGTTACGCGGCTGACAAAACAGACTGACACAGTGAAACATGTTGTGACGTTTCTGTGAAAAGATACAACTTTTTTTTTTAGATAGAAATATCGAACGGTGTAAAGTTTCGCCAGTGGCCTGCGATATTTGTTTTTCAGTTTCCGCGAAAAATAGGATCGAACTGTTTCGTTTAGATAATGTACACAGAATGAAGGGTATTAAACAAGATAAATAACGTGTATATTAATAATTATCGATAAAATGTAATTTTATAAATTCCAACATTTTTGTAGTATTAGTTCCATATGCCAATTAAAATGTCCAAGTCGGAAAATATTTCCAATCGAATAAATTTTTCTTTCATAAATAAAAATATACAGGGTTAATCTACAAGAAAAAATAAGTCGAAAATGTAGAGTAACATTTTTTCACACGAAGCATCACTTCCGAATAAACCGACGCTGAAGATTTGTGGGGCATCCATGCACTCGCACGTGATCTCACTCACCTCTACATCCAACAAATATCACTGCAAACTACCTGTATTGCTGTCTGAGTTTATCACATTAGAAAGTGAAGGATAAACAGTGAACTAAAAGGAAGAACCAACGTTGCAACGATAGAATAGCTTGGACATAGACAGATATTTACTTACGGAGTCTCTTTATTTTTCCGTCAGCTAAACACAAGTACGCGCGTGCTCAAATCTTCAACATCGATTTACTCGGAAATGAAGCTTCGTACAAAAAAATGCCACTCCACAATTTCGATTTATTTTTTCACGTAGATTCATCCCCCTTAGAAATTTTTCCATCTCACAGGGA